AAATTAAGGCCGGGGCACCCCAAATTAAGGCCGGGGCACCCCAAATTGAGGCCGGGGCACCCCAAATTAGAAGAGGGGCTACCCCATGTTAAAGCCCAGGGTCTCCCCAAATTAAAGCCAGCCCCCCCCCCCCGCCAAATTACAGCTGGGCCCCCTCCAAATTAAAGCCAGGGCCCCCCAAAATTACAGCTGAGGCACCCCCAATTCAAAGCAGGGCTGCCCCAAATCAAGCTGGGGCCACCCCAAATTAGAGGAGGGGTCACCCCATATTAAAGCCCAGGGACCCCCAAATTCAAGCCAGGGGCACCCCAAGTTTGAAGCCAGGGCCACCCCCAAAATAAAGCCAGGACGCCCCAATTTGAAGCCCAGGCCACCCCAAATTGAAGCCCAGGCCCCCCATATTAAGCCAGGGCACCCCAAATTGACTCGGGGCACCCCAAATTGAAGCCAAGGCCACCCCAAATTGAGCTGAAGTGCCCCAAACTGAAGTGGCTGCTCCAAATTAAGACAGAGCCACCCCAAACAGAAGCCAGGGAACCCCCAATTTGAAGCCAGGGACACCCCAAATCGAGCTGAGGTGCCCCAAATTAAGACGGAGTTACCCCAAATTCAAGCCAGAGCACCTCAAATTGAAGCCAGGCATCCCAAATTGAAGTCAGGGCCACCCCACATTGAGCCAAGGCACCCCACATTGAAGGAAGAGCACCCCAAATTAAGCTGGGGCACCCCAAATTAGAGCCTTGGCCACCCCAAATTAGAGCTGGGGTCCCCTAAATTAAGCTGGGGCCCCACAATTTGAAGCCAGGGCCACCCCCCAAATTAAGCCAGGACGCCCCAATTTGAAGCCCAGGCCACCCCAAATTGAAGCCCAGGCCCCCCATATTAAGCCAGGGCACCCCAAATTGACTCGGGGCACCACAATTTGATGCCAGGGCCACCCCAAAATGAGCTGAGGTGCCCCAAATTAAGATGGAGTTACCCCAAATTCAAGCCAGAGCACCTCAAATTGAAGCCAGGCATCCCAAATTGAAGTCAGGGCCACCCCACATTGAGCCAAGGCACCCCACATTGAAGGAAGAGCACCCCAAATTAAGCTGGGGCACCCCAAATTAGAGCCTTGGCCACCCCAAATTAGAGCTGGGGCCCCCTAAATTAAGCTGGGGCCCCACAATTTAAAGCCGGGGCCACCCCAAATTAACCCAGGGCACCCCAAATTGAAGCCGAGCACCCCCGAAATTAAGCCAGGGCACCCCAAATTGACTCGGGGCACCCCAAATTGAAGCCAAGGCCACCCCAAATTGAGCTGAAGTGCCCCAAACTGAAGTGGCTGCTCCAAATTAAGACAGAGCCACCCCAAACAGAAGCCAGGGAACCCCCAATTTGAAGCCAGGGACACCCCAAATTGACCTGAGGTGCCCCAAATTAAGACGGAGTTACCCCAAATTCAAGCCAGAGCACCTCAAATTGAAGCCAGGCATCCCAAATTGAAGTCAGGGCCACCCCACATTGAGCCAAGGCACCCCACATTGAAGGAAGAGCACCCCAAATCGAGCTGGGGCACCCCAAATTAGAGCCTTGGCCACCCCAAATTAGAGCTGGGGTCCCCTAAATTAACCTGGGGCCCCACAATTTGAAGCCGGGGCCACCCCAAATTAACCCAGGGCACCCCAAATTGAAGCCCAGCCCCCCAGATTAAGCCAGGGCACCCCAAATTGACTCGGGGCACCACAATTTGAAGCCAGGGCCACCCCAAATTTTGCCAGGGCACCCCAAATTGAAGCCCAGCCCCCCAGATTAAGCCAGGGCACCCCAAATTGACTCGGGGCACCACAATTTGAAGCCAGGGCCACCCCAAATTTTGCCAGGGCACCCCAAATTGAAGCCCAGCCCCCCAGATTAAGCCAGGGCACCCCAAATTGACTCGGGGCACCACAATTTGAAGCCAGGGCCACCCCAAATTTTGCCAGGGCACCCCAAATTGAAGCCCAGCCCCCCAGATTAAGCCAGGGCACCCCAAATTGACTCGGGGCACCACAATTTGAAGCCAGGGCCACCCCAAATTTTGCCAGGGCACCCCAAATTGAAGCCCAGCCCCCCAGATTAAGCCAGGGCACCCCAAATTGACTCGGGGCACCACAATTTGAAGCCAGGGCCACCCCAAATTTTGCCAGGGCACCCCAAATTGAAGCCCAGCCCCCCAGATTAAGCCAGGGCACCCCAAATTGACTCGGGGCACCACAATTTGAAGCCAGGGCCACCCCCCAAATTAAGCCAGGACGCCCCAATTTGAAGCCCAGGCCCCCCATATTAAGCCAGGGCACCCCAAATTGACTCGGGGCACCACAATTTGATGCCAGGGCCACCCCAAATTTTGCCAGGGCACCCCAAATTGAAGCCCAGGCCCCCCATATTAAGCCAGGGCACCCCAAATTGACTCGGGGCACCCCAAATTGAAGCCAAGGCCACCCCAAATTGAGCTGAAGTGCCCCAAACTGAAGTGGCTGCTCCAAATTAAGACAGAGCCACCCCAAACAGAAGCCAGGGAACCCCCAATTTGAAGCCAGGGACACCCCAAATTGACCTGAGGTGCCCCAAATTAAGACGGAGTTACCCCAAATTCAAGCCAGAGCACCTCAAATTGAAGCCAGGCATCCCAAATTGAAGTCAGGGCCACCCCACATTGAGCCAAGGCACCCCACATTGAAGGAAGAGCACCCCAAATTAAGCTGGGGCACCCCAAATTAGAGCCTTGGCCACCCCAAATTAGAGCTGGGGTCCCCTAAATTAACCTGGGGCCCCACAATTTAAAGCCGGGGCCACCCCAAATTAACCCAGGGCACCCCAAATTGAAGCCCAGCCCCCCAGATTAAGCCAGGGCACCCCAAATTGACTCGGGGCACCACAATTTGATGCCAGGGCCACCCCAAAATGAGCTGAGGTGCCCCAAATTAAGATGGAGTTACCCCAAATTCAAGCCAGAGCACCTCAAATTGAAGCCAGGCATCCCAAATTGAAGTCAGGGCCACCCCACATTGAGCCAAGGCACCCCACATTGAAGGAAGAGCACCCCAAATTAAGCTGGGGCACCCCAAATTAGAGCCTTGGCCACCCCAAATTAGAGCTGGGGTCCCCTAAATTAAGCTGGGGCCCCACAATTTAAAGCCGGGGCCACCCCAAATTAACCCAGGGCACCCCAAATTGAAGCCCAGCCCCCCAGATTAAGCCAGGGCACCCCAAATTGACTCGGGGCACCACAATTTGATGCCAGGGCCACCCCAAAATGAGCTGAGGTGCCCCAAATTAAGATGGAGTTACCCCAAATTCAAGCCAGAGCACCTCAAATTGAAGTCAGGGCCACCCCACATTGAGCCAAGGCACCCCACATTGAAGGAAGAGCACCCCAAATCGAGCTGGGGCACCCCAAATTAGAGCCTTGGCCACCCCAAATTAGAGCTGGGGTCCCCTAAATTAAGCTGGGGCCCCACAATTTGAAGCCGGGGCCACCCCAAATTAACCCAGGGCACCCCAAATTGAAGCCCAGCCCCCCAGATTAAGCCAGGGCACCCCAAATTGACTCGGGGCACCACAATTTGATGCCAGGGCCACCCCAAAATGAGCTGAGGTGCCCCAAATTAAGATGGAGTTACCCCAAATTCAAGCCAGAGCACCTCAAATTGAAGTCAGGGCCACCCCACATTGAGCCAAGGCACCCCACATTGAAGGAAGAGCACCCCAAATCGAGCTGGGGCACCCCAAATTAGAGCCTTGGCCACCCCAAATTAGAGCTGGGGTCCCCTAAATTAAGCTGGGGCCCCACAATTTGAAGCCAGGGCCACCCCCCAAATTAAGCCAGGACGCCCCAATTTGAAGCCCAGGCCACCCCAAATTGAAGCCCAGGCCCCCCATATTAAGCCAGGGCACCCCAAATTGACTCGGGGCACCACAATTTGATGCCAGGGCCATCCCAAATTGAGCGGAGGTGCCCCAAATTAAGACGGACTTACCCCAAATTCAAGCCAGAGCACCTCAAATTGAAGCCAGGCATCCCAAATTGAAGTCAGGGCCACCCCACATTGAAGGAAGAGCACCCCAAATTAAGCTGGGGCACCCCAAATTAGAGCCTTGGCCACCCCAAATTAGAGCTGGGGTCCCCTAAATTAAGCTGGGGCCCCACAATTTAAAGCCGGGGCCACCCCAAATTAACCCAGGGCACCCCAAATTGAAGCCGAGCACCCCCGAAATTAAGCCAGGGCACCCCAAATTGACTCGGGGCACCCCAAATTGAAGCCAAGGCCACCCCAAATTGAGCTGAAGTGCCCCAAACTGAAGCGGCTGCTCCAAATTAAGACAGAGCCACCCCAAACAGAAGCCAGGGAACCCCCAATTTGAAGCCAGGGACACCCCAAATTGACCTGAGGTGCCCCAAATTAAGACGGAGTTACCCCAAATTCAAGCCAGAGCACCTCAAATTGAAGCCAGGCATCCCAAATTGAAGTCAGGGCCACCCCACATTGAGCCAAGGCACCCCACATTGAAGGAAGAGCACCCCAAATTAAGCTGGGGCACCCCAAATTAGAGCCTTGGCCACCCCAAATTAGAGCTGGGGTCCCCTAAATTAAGCTGGGGCCCCACAATTTGAAGCCAGGGCCACCCCCCAAATTAAGCCAGGACGCCCCAATTTGAAGCCCAGGCCACCCCAAATTGAAGTCCAGGCCCCCCATATTAAGCCAGGGCACCCCAAATTGACTCGGGGCACCACAATTTGATGCCAGGGCCATCCCAAATTGAGCGGAGGTGCCCCAAATTAAGACGGACTTACCCCAAATTCAAGCCAGAGCACCTCAAATTGAAGCCAGGCATCCCAAATTGAAGTCAGGGCCACCCCACATTGAAGGAAGAGCACCCCAAATCCGGAACCACCCCAAATTGAGCCGGAACATCCCAATTTGAAGCCAGGACAATCCCAAATGAAGCTGCTCCCCCCATCCCCCAGATGAAGCTGGGACACCCCAAAACGGCCCCAGGGAAGGACAGAGCCCCCCCCCCCACCTGCAGGAACTCGACGGTTTTATCGGGGAGTTTGGTGCCGATGTATCGCAGTGTCTCCTTGTGGAATTTGCTCTGAAGGTGTTTCTGGATCTCTTCCTCCTCGAAACTGCGGAATTTGCAGACGGAACAGGCAAACTGGATTCTGAACAGGAAAAATAGACACCATATAACATACATTATTATATATTTAACATTTTACTATTTATTATTTCATAATATTTCATTCCTTTAACACCCTTTGGAATTTATAACTCCCATCTGTGTATTAAACACTTTGGGGTTATCTCAAAAAATCCACAAAAAGGGGGGAAAAGTGCTAAAATGAGAATTCAGAGCCCCAAAATAGGATTCCCTGGCAGATTTCTCTCATGTTTTACTCATTATTCTTCCCCCAGTGCCGGGGAGGGAAGGGGTAATCCTTTTTCTCACCTGTCCATAGCCCGGTCCCGCATCCGATCTCTTCTCCGTTGCTTCTCCCTCTTCTTTTTCACCTCCTCGTCGTCGTCTTCGCACCCGTCTCCAGATGCTGAAGGATGCAGGTGGGGGGGAAAATCAGAAATTAAAAAAAAAATCAATAAAATCAGAATTATCATGCTCGTCGTCCCTCTCTTCGCTGGCTGAGGTATTTGGGGAAAAATCTTTTTATTTCCTCTTTACTCTCCACTTGGGAATCTCAATTTCTTGGTTTCTGGGAGTTCTCCCCCCTTCCCAAACCACCTTCCGACCCCGGGGAAGCACCACCTTCTTTTCCAAGGTTTCCAGAGATTATTTATGAAAAATAAACCCCAAACCCTCCTCTCCCAACGTCCCGCAGCAGCTCAGAGGCTGGGAAGGGCCAAAATGATAAAAACCAAAATCCTGATTTTTTTCCCACATCTCTCCCTCTCCCTTCCTTGGGAGGAGCTGCCAATTCTTCCCCCAAAATCTCATTTTTCCCCTTCATTTTTCCCAAGGCTGGAGCAAGAAGGTTTAAGCTACAGGACAGCAGAGATGCCAACGATGTTCTCCTTCCTCGGGACATTTTGGGGTATAATAATTCCAATTCCCAATAATTCCTTCATAATTATTAGGAAAGCCAAAAAAAAAACAATAAAAAAAGAACTCAAAGCCTCATCTCTGCGGTGTCTTGGGGTAGAAAGCTCCAATTCAGGGGTTTATCAGCCTCACATTTAATTATTCCTCGGGGAATAATTAAACCTGTTAATATAAAATAATTCCTGGGTGGTGGGGAATGGAGCTAAATCCAGTTGGGAACTGGTCAGGAGTGGTGTCCCCAGGGCTGGGTGTTGGGGACGCTTCTCTTTAACACCTTTATCTGGAGGAGGGGATGGAGGGCACCCTCAGGAAGTTCACAGATGACACCTGGTTGGGTGGGATGTTGACCTGCTGGAGGGTAGGAAGGCTCTCCAGAGGGACCTGGACAGGTCGGATCCATGGGTCAAGGTCAATGGGATGAGGTTCAACAAGGCCAAGTCCTGCCCTTGGGTCACACCAACCCCAGGGATGCTACAGGCTTGGAGAAGAGTGGCTGGTGCTGCCTGGTGGGAAAGGACCTGGGGGTGGTGGTCAACCATGACCAGCAGTGTGCCCAGGTGGCCAAGAAGGCCACCAGCATCTTGGCCTGGATCAGGAACAACGTGGTGAGGAGGACTCAGGAGGTGATGGTCCCCCTGGACTGGGGCACTGGTGAGACCCCACCTCGAGGGCTGGGTCCAGTTTTGGGCCCCTTCCCACAAAAAAAAAAGACATTTAGGGGCTGGAGTGGGTCCAGAGGAGGGCAATGGAGCTGGTGAGGGGTCTGGAGGAGAAGGGGCTGGAGGAAGAGGAGGAGGAGAAGGGGCTGGAGGAGGAGGAGGGGCTGGAGGCGAAGAAGAAGGGGCTGGAGGACTTCTGAAGAGCAGCTGGAGGATCTGGGGGTGTTCAGCCTGGAGAAAAGGAGGCTGAGGGGAGACCTCAGTCCAATCCCAAACCAGCTGAAGCGTTTTTTTCAGCTACTTTAGACTTTTTCAAATATTCCTTGATATATTCCCATCTATTTAAAAAAAAAATATATATATATATACCAGGGTTTAGCCCCAGCTATTGAGACTTCCCCTAAAATATTGTATTTACGGTATTTTCAGTCCATCCTGGTGGCATCCTCCAAAAAAAATAGCAGAGGAAAAATCAATGAAATATCCAATATCCAAAATATCCATGTTGAGAAATCCAGAAGAAAATCAAAACCTTCGCCAAATTGCCCAAAAGAGAGAGAAACTCCTGGAAAACTCCTGGAAAAGAGAAACACAACGAGATGTTTGGGTTATTTAGGGGAGATTTGGAGGTTTCAGTGTGTCCCCCCCCTCCAAATTCAGGCCTCGGAACGCGTGAAAGGTTGGGCCATTTGGGCCCAAAAATCTATAAAAATCAACTATTGATTTTTATAATTATTTATAAAATGGTGTGGGTTTTTCCTAGATCAAGTCATCGCTATAAAAGCACTTCCCCAAGGATTTAAATCCTCGCCAGCAGAGTCACTGCTCCGAGGGACACCAAGTGGCAATGACCCCCAGGAAGGAAATCAACCCCTAATTAGCGTTTAGCCCTAACGAGCCTCGTCAGCGGCGGAAAAAAACACCACAGGAGCAACATCTTTCCATTAAAAGTGCTTTTCAGGCACCTCAGAGCAAAGGGATCTGCCCCGAATCCCCACCGAAGGGCAGCAGGAAAGCCTGAGGAGGAAATAATTTCATTAAAAAAAATGGGCTCAAAATGCTGGTTTTGGACGATTTGAAATATTCTGAGCCTCGGGGCAGGGATAAAAGCAGAGGAAACTGCTCAAGTGTTTAAATACCCCCAAAGATTGACGAAAAATAATTTTTTAAATTATAAAATATATATAATATATATATAATAATATATATTTATTTATATATATAAAATAAATTAAAAGTTACTTACACCTTTGTCAGCTTCGTCTCCTGATTTTTCCTCTCCTTCGCCCTCATCTGCTGCACAAAAGGAGAATTATTTGGGTGGTGTCTGGAGGGGGGGGCTCTTTTTCCCCACTTAATACTCCTAATAAATCACTAATTTTTGCAATAATGGGTCAAAATCCCATTGAAAATGGCAAATGAAGCCCTGGTTTGTCTTTGGAGGCTCCGTCCTTCCTCCCTGGGCGCGTTAAATCGTCCCCACAAAATCCAGAGAATGTAAAATTCGCCCCGTTTTAAGGATGCGACGAGGGGTTGGGAAGGGAAAACGGGGGAAAACCAGGGGAAAACGGGCAAAAAGGGGAGGGGAGCTCGTACCGTTCTCGGTGTCGTCGCCCTCGCTGTCGCTCTTGGCCTGTTTGCCCTCGGGCTCGTCGCCGCTCGGAGACTGTTTGCGTTTGCGGCCACCTCCCTCCCCGTCCCCCCTCCCGCCCGCCCGGGGCCGGAAACCCCTTCTTTTTTGCTGAAAAAAACAAAAAAAGAGAAAAAAAAAAAAAAAAAAAAAAAAACACGAGAAAAAAGAGAATTGTATCAATATAGTCGAAGCAGCGAAAAAAAGCTTTAAAAAAAAAAAATAATCAAATTATTCCCCCCAACTTTCGCCTCGCCTCCAAAAGGTTAAGTTCTTGTGATTCTGTAGATTGATTTTGGGGTGGAAAAAGGTTTTTTCATTGGGTTGGCGCCTCCAAAATTGTGGATTTGTGGCCAGGGAAGCATTTGGAGGCTCTATTTTATGGAAAAATGGGTATTGAAAAGCTTGGACACCCCTTTCTACCCAGATTTAAGTTATTCTGAGTGGAAGAAATGGGAATTAAGAGGGGTGTTTCTCCAAAAAATGAAGTTCACCTGATGTGGTGAGTGAGTTCTCTATTTATCTTGCAGATTTATAATTACTATTTTGAGACACAGTGATAGGAAACTCTCCAGATGGGCAGAATTTAACCCAGCGGGAGGAAAAAAAAACCAAACCACACCCCAACCCCATAATTAGGAGAAAAAAGGGACTTGGGGGGGGGGGTTGTAAAAATGCTAAATAATCCTACAGATTATAAATAATCCTAAAATGATAAACAATCGTAAGAATTATAAATAATCCTTAAAATGCTAAATAATCCTATAGATTATAAATACTCCTATAGATTATAAATAATTGTAAAAATGATAAATAATCCCAAAGATTACAAATAATTGTAAAAATGCTAAATAATCCTATAGATTATTAATAATCCTAAAATGATAAACAATCCTAAAAATGATAAATAATCCTAAAGATTACAAATAATTGTAAAAATGATAAATACTCCTATAGATTATAAATAATTGTAAAAATGATAAACAATCATAAGAATTATAAATAATCCTTAAAATGCTAAATAATCCTATAGATTATAAATACTCCTATAGATTATAAATAATTGTAAAAATGATAAATAATCCCAGGGGAAAACGGGCAAAAAGGGGAGGGGAGCTCGTACCGTTCTCGGTGTCGTCGCCCTCGCTGTCGCTCTTGGCCTGTTTGCCCTCGGGCTCGTCGCCGCTCGGAGACTGTTTGCGTTTGCGGCCACCTCCCTCCCCGTCCCCCCTCCCGCTTATAAACAACCATAAGAATTATAAATAATTGTAAAAATGATAAACAATCCTAAAGATTATAAATAATCCTATAGATCATAAATAATTGTAAAAATGCTAAATAATCCTATAGATTATAAATAATCCTAAAATGATAAACAAGCCTAAGAATGATAAAGAATCCTAAAAATGATAAATAATCCTATAGATCATAAATAATTGTAAAAATGCTAAATAATCCTATAGATTATAAATAATCCTAAAATGATAAACAAGCCTAAGAATGATAAAGAATCCTAAAAATGATAAATAATCCTATAGATCATAAATAATTGTAAAAATGCTAAATAATCCTATAGATTATAAATAATCCTAAAATGATAAACAAGCCTAAGAATGATAAAGAATCCTAAAAATGATAAATAATCCTATAGATCATAAATAATTGTAAAAATGCTAAATAATCCTATAGATTATAAATAATCCTAAAATGATAAACAATCTTAAGAATGATAAATAATCCTAAAAATGATAAATAATCCTAAAGATTGTAAATAAAAGGGATTTTCCCCAGGAAAGCAGCCCCGGAGGTGCCCAATTACCATGAGGGTGTTCCCGTGCCAGGGGCCGGCGCCCATCCTGTCGCGGTGCCGCTGCCTGCCCATTCCGTAGGGGGGGGTCCCGTAGCGCCCCACCCCCATGCCCGCCATGCCCATCATCCCGTAGTCGTAGTCCCCGTAATCCCCGTAGTCCCCGTAATCGCCGTAATCCCCGTAGTCCCCGTAGTCGCCGCCGTAGTCCCCGTAGTCGTTGTAATCCCCGTAGTCGCCGTAATCGGGCACCAGGGCTTGGGAGAAGAGGGAGGGGAGCCTGTTGGAGGCGCCCCCCCCCATGCCGCGGCCCCCCCCCATGTAGTTGAGCTCGTTCCAGCGGGCCGAGAGGCGCTCGGAGCTGGAGGAGCCCGGGAACGGCTCCGAGCGGTTAAAGACGGTGGGGCGGCCCCGGTTCTGCAGCCGGTTTGGAGCCCGGCCCCTGCTCAGGCCGTAGGTGGAGGGGGGGGCGTTGGTGGGGGTCCCGGCGCCCCCCCGGCTGCGGTCCCGGCGGCTGTCGAATTGCCCCCCCCCGAAGGAATCGCCGCGGTCGGGGGCCGCGTCCCCGTAGTCGTAGCCCGAGCGGAACACGTCGCGGTCGCTCAGCGACGACCTGGAGTCGTAGGAGTCGAAAGATTCAAACCTGAAGGAGCTGCAGGGGCGAGGGGAGACGATTAATTAGCGCTTAATTAACAGCTCCCCCCCATCCCCCCCCACCCCCCTCAACATCACAACCCCAGTGGGTTTTGGCCAGAAAACCAGAATTAAAACATCTTAAAACCCTTTGTAGCCCTCACTTTCCACATCCCTCTTCCTCTTTTCAAGGAAAATAAATAAATATATAAAAAAAATGTGTTTTATCACATAACGACCCAAACAGAATTCCTTCAGAAATGTCAAATTTCCCCCTAAATTTATAGCACTAAACAGCCCCGAATTGTGTTTCACCAGCAGAAAAGCTTCCCCGGGGCAAAAGCAGGTGTGAATTAATGCAAATAAACCCCTCAGCCCTGCAGCAACCAGCATCAAATGGCCAAAAAAAATTTAAAAAAAAGGCAAAAACTCAATTATTCAGTAAACCTTGGGGAGATTTGTATTATTGTTATTTCAGCAGCAATAGGAAACTCCCCAGCCGGGCAGAATTTAACCCAGTAGGAGAAATAAACCCACCCCATAATCACCGGGCAGCCACAGGGAAAGTGGGACAAAGAGGGGAAAAAAAGCACTTTAAGAAATGTAAAAACTAGAAATAAAAGCTTTGGCAAAAATGGAGGAATCAAAGGGAGAACGGGAGCTGCTTCTGATGCCGACGGCAAGTTGGATGTATCTGTGAGATACAGATCTCTCTCCATCTCACTCTCTCCTTCTCCCTCCCTCTCCCTTCCTCTCCCTCCATCTCTCCCTTTCTCCATCCCTCTCCCTCCATCCCTCCTTCTCCCTCCATCCCTCTCCCCCTCCATCCGTCTCCCTCCCTCTTCCCCATCTCTCTCCCTCCCTCAATCCCTCTCCCTCCATTCCTCCTTCCCTCTATTCATCTCTCTCCATTCTTCTTTCTCCCTCTCCCTCCATCCCTCTCCCTCCCTCCATCTCTCCCTCCTCACATCTCTCTCCATCTCTCCATCCCTCTCCCTCTCTCCATCCCTCTCCCTCTCTCCCTCCTATTCTCCTTCCCTTGCTCCCTCCATCCCTCTCCCTGCATCTCTCTCTCTCTCCTTCCCTCCATCTCTCCCTCCCTCTCCATTTCTCTCTCCTTCTCCCTCCCTCCTTCTCTCTCCATGCCTCTCCCCCCCTTCTCTCTCAATCCCTCTCCCTCCCTTTTCCTCTCTCTTTCTCCCTCCCCCTCCACCCCTCTCGCTCTCTCCCTTCATCCCTCTCCTTTCCTCCCTCTTCCCTTCCTCCATCCCTCTCCCTCCATCCCTCTTCCCTCTCTCTCCATCCCTCCCTCTCCATTCCTCTCCCTCCCTCCATCTCTCTCTCCATCCCTCCCTCCCCTTCTCCCTCCATCCATCCCTCCCTCTCCATTCCACTCCATCTCCCTC